GGCTGCTCCAGCACCCAGGGCTGCATCAGCGTAGGTCCATGTGGCTTCTCCTCAGGGATGTCTCACAGGAAGCAGAAGCAGGGAACTGGCTCAGGCAGTTGCACCCTGGTCTGACCATCACAAAGCAAGAGACCCAAGATCTCTAAAAGCTTTGAGCCATGTATCCCTCTGCCCTTCAATTAACCCCACATGTGTTTATCAGCCAGGTTGGCACAATAAACTCAGGGGGCAGGGCCCCCCTCAAAGGAAGGGTCCCTGGTAGGGGGCTGAGTCCCGGTAGGGAGGTCCCCGGTAGGGGGCGGAGTCCCCAGTAAGGATGTCCCCGGTAGGGGGCGGAGTCCCCAGTAGGGAGGTCCCCGGTAGGGGGCGGAGTCCCCAGTAAGGATGTCCCCGGTAGGGGGCGGAGTCCCCAGTAGGGAGGTCCCCGGTAGGGGTCGCTGCAGCCCGGCAGGCCGGTCGAGCCGCTCCGCCCAGCGGCCTCCAGGTCCCGCCTCCGCGCCCCGCCCGCTGCGCCGTCCCGCCTCCGGTGTGCAGGTGCGTCTCGGCCCGCGCTGGGCCTGGGTCTCCGCGGCCTCGCTGGCTCGGGCCCGGGGGACCGCCGAGCTCTCTCGGCTCCGGCGGGGGGGCGGGGGTGCGGTCCCTCCCGCGCGGGCCGCGGGCTCTCGGGGCCGCAGCGCGCATGCCCGGCCCGGCCCCCTCCGGGCGGCCTAGGATCTGGGGCCGTGGGGTCGCCGGTATCCGCTCTCAGCGATCTGGGAGGGTGAGACTGGCCCCGGGAGGGTAGTGGGCGATCCGAGGGCAGGACGTCCCCCAGGTGACCTGGGGCGCCGGGGACAGATGTCGGAGGCCGAAGTGGCGGGAGAGAAGCGGGAAGGGGCAGGAAGCGAGGCTGGAGAGGGTAACAGGGCGCCTTAGGTGGGCTTGGGGGCCATGTTAGCGAAGCCGGGGAAGGCCTGCGCAGAGCTTCCGCTTGGAGTAGGGTCACTCCGGGCAGGTGGTGGTGCCTTACACCACGGGGACAGTGGACAGTGGCGGGGACAGTGCACGTGGGAGGGGGCCGGATGGAGGACCTAGTTGGTAGGTGGAGTCATCGGGGGATGTGACAGAAAGGGAGGAGCGGAGGTCAAGGCCTTTGACGCGAGAAGACTAGAGACGGCGTTGGGAAAAGGAGGCTTGGGAGAAGTTGGGGGTCCCTGGTATGACTGGAGGAAGCGGCCTTACGGACGTTGGGCGGGGGGTGCTGAGAAGACACCGAGTTCAGCAGGCTGGGGGCCTGCGAGGATGGCATAACCCCATCCCACCCTCACCCCGCAGGTGAGCCCGGGGGCGGGGGAGGGGGGGGCGGCCTCAGAAGAGAAAAGGTGGCGGGTAGGCAGCACACGGGATGAGAAGGAGCCAGGAGGGCGTCTTTCGCAGAGAGGCCGGGCATAACCAAGGAGGCTGGAGACTCCGGTGGACTGAGCCACGCAGAGATTGCTGCCGAACCGGACCGGACCGGACCGTCCACCCGTGGCTGGGAAGACAGCTGGGCATTTGGGGTTCCACACCACGGTTCACTCACGGTGCGCTGCTGCCCTGTGTTGGGCTTTAGGCTCTAACAGGGTTGTAAAATCCTAGAAGTTACCATCCACTCTCTGTTTCCCGGAAAAACAGATCAATGTTGGCGCAAAAGATGATTCCAAGAAATACTTCATAGTGGTTGTGGGTGTTCGTTGGCTGTGAGTTGGTCCGGACTCACAGCCACCTTATTCAGAACAGACCTAAGCATTGCCTGGGCCTGTGCGGTCTTCTTAATTTTTAGTCTGTTTGAGTGCAAATTGTTGTCACATTTAGAGAGAAACTTCTCCAGAACATTTTACAACTTACCCCAACATTTAGCTAAACAAACACTCAATTCATTGAAAAGAACATCATGTGAATGGTTCTCTCAGAACACTGGCTGCTTTTATCATCAGTGAGACCAAAATTATCTTCCTGGATGATTCAACTCTGTCA